TGGTCCACGGACCACAGGTTGGGAACCACTTATAGAGATTCATAGCATCAGAACAAGTCCCACATCCCATAAGCAGGTCAACTTAAAGGCAACTAATAACAATAGTGCACAACCTGAGAAGTGAATTATTACTTTTTGGAGAAGATCCAATAAAACTTTGATTTTCACCCCTTCGTAAAGAGAAATGCAAGAGCTAAATGGTTCATATTTTTTTTAGCACTAGCCCATGGTTCCTGGAACACACATTATATGAAATATTCAAAATAGGAGCTGGGGTTGGGGAGAAAGTGAGAGAAAAGATTATTGGGAGGGGAAACAAAGAGTTTAACACTACACCTCCAAACCTCACTATTTTTAACCTTTTATATATTTCTTGGAAGTACTGTATTTTTTTAAAAAAAAATTGGGTTTCTTTTTCTTCTTGTAACTCAAAATTGGTGGCCCTTCATTTTAATATAAATGCAACTCTGAAACCAATAAAACAGCATGTCTTCCAGAAATTTTATTTCTGTAAAGAACAGTGTGCCCTCTCCCCTTTTTTGAAGGAAGTTGGTTATTTCTTCTTTATTGAACTTCCTTTCTTTCTGACGCCTCCTGCCAACCATAACATTAATAGAATAAGGGGGAGTGCTCAACAGCTTCATAATATAGCACTGTTCACAGGCTGCTCAAGTTGACAACTGAATTACTGAACTAAGGCTTAAGCTGTGAAGGAAGGAAGGTACATGTGGAAATGAAAGAAAGCCCCAGTAATTATAGCCAAAGGTTCAGTGCTGTTAATTTAGAGTTCCTTTACTTTCTCCCATTTTACCTTGTTTATCAAGCTCACTAACATACACAGTTTGGGAATGCCACATGGGCTTCAATACCAAACTTGGTGAGAGTGCTTTGATTGTGTGTTCCTGTATGGCAGAATGGGCTTGGGCTGGATGGTCCTTATGGTCTCTTCTAGCTCTAAGACTCTATCATTCTATGCAGTCAGGCATGTCTTTCAGTGCAAAATCCCATATACATTTGTAACATCCCTCTCTCATAAAATTAAAACAATTAAAACAATGCCCTCAACTATCTCTATAGAAACATAGAATCTGTGGGCCATCCAGTCCAACCCCATTCTGCCAAGAAGCAGGAAAATTCCATTCAAAGCACCCCTGACAGAGGGCCATCCAGCCTCTGCTTAAAAGCCTCCAAAGAAGGAGCCTCCACCACACTCTGGGGCAGAGAGTTCCACTGCTGAACAACTCTCACAGTCAGGAAGTTCTACCTCATGTTCTGTGGAATCCCCTTTCATAGAATGATAGAATCATAGAATCAAAGAGTTGGAAGAGACCTCATGGGCCATCCAGTCCAACCCCCTGCCAAGAAGCAGGGAAATCACATTCAAAGCACCCCTGACAGAGGGCCATCCAGCCTCTGCTTAAAAGCCTCCAAAGAAGAAGGAGCCTCCACACACCGGGGCAGAGAGTTCCACTGCTGAACAACTTTCACAGTCAGGAAGTTCTTCCTCATGTTCTGGTGGAATCTCCTTTCCTGTAGTTTGAAGCCACAGCTCCACCTCCTAGTCTCCAGGGCAGCAGAAAACAAGCTTGCTCCCTCCTCCTTATGACTTCCCCTCACATATTTATACATGGCCATAATGTCTCCTTTCAGCTTTCTCTTCTGCATCCCAAACATGCCCAACTCTTTAAGCTGCTCTTCATAGGGCTTGTACTCCAGACCGTTGATTATTTTAGTCGCCATCCTCTGGACACATTCCAGCTTGTCAACATCTACCTTCAGTTGCAGTGCCCTGATTGGACACAGTATTCCAGGTGTGGACTGACCAAGGCAGAATAGAGGGGTAGTACGATTTTCTTGGATCTAGAAACTATGCTCCTATTTATGCAGGTCAAAATCCCATTGGCATTTTTTGGCACCACAAGACATTGTTGGCTCATGTTTAACTTGTTGTCTATGAGGAGTCCAAGAACTTTTCCACACATACTTTTTTACACGTGTCTCTACTTCTTTTATTTCCCAATTAAGAGACTAGAAATCGAGGAGATTAAAATTCAATAGTTTAATTCTGCAGAGTAACTAAGGGGTGGCCCTTATAATCAAGACAAATCAAGATAAGTGTCAAGAAAAGTGCCACATTTGACTGTCTCTGGATCATGGGTTTTATAGTCTTCGTTGATGCAAACACGCACATACATGCAAGTCAAGAAACCAAAACTTTCTTTTCCACTGCCTGTCTGTTCTCTCACAGGGTCTTTCAGTTTCAGCATCTCTATATCTCTTCTGTTCTCTGAGCAATTCTTGTGTTTTCTTTTTTCCAAAGCAAAGCAAAACAATTCCTTCTGTGCAGTTCTCTCCCCTTTCCATCTCTTTGGATAAGCCAGTCTCTCCTTGAACTTTCACACACTTCATCAATACCTTATCTATCTACATGCCTTCACTATTTTTCCCTCCGCCTTTCTGTTTTAGCCCATTCTCAAGCAACTCCTTCTCTGCAAAATCCACTTTAGGTTTTCATAGTTCCAACACTTTCATTGAAGCTAAAATAGATGAATATCCACACAGAGTTAGAGAGCAGAATTCCCTGCCACAAGATGCAGGCTGTCCACTTGGATGGCTTCTGTGGTAGCTTCATGGAAAGTGAAGCTACCAGCAGAATAGACTATATTTCTTCCCATATCAAGGGCGGATGGCTCTCTTTTTCAGTTCAGGGAGCATGATGCTCATGCCATGCAGGTGGCATCTGATTGACCAGTACATGGACAGAATGTTGAACTACTTATATCTTGATTTGATTCAACTTTCTTATGTACTTAAGCTATTGATGAAAAAGGAAATAACCAAAGCATGGTTTGATGTTGTTCCTGTTGTTATTGTGTGCCTTCAAGTCATTCTTCATTGTTGGTGAACCTATCACAGGGTTTTCTGGAGCTGAGAATGTTTGACTTTCCCAGGATCACTCAGTGGATTGTCATGGATGAGTAGATATTTGAACCCTGATATCCAGAATTGTAGTCCAATACTCAAACCATGATACCATGTTGTTTCTTCCCAGCATGGCTACCAGGCCTTATTACCAACCAACAAATCTGTTAGAAGTTATCTCTTTGTTGACTACCACTTCCCTGTTGTTTTGAGCTTGAGTGAATATGGAAAGCTCTTAAAACAACATGCTAAACTGAAAGGATTGTTATGTGCTAACTGAAGAATCCTAGCTGCACAATGTGGGCGACTAATGAGCTGACCACAGATCCAGGTTGTTTTGGTGAATAATTGCCTAGGCTGTGAAACACTGAAGAAAGGATGACTTTCCCTTGACCCTCCTCATTGAGTCTTCAGAAACTTAGTGGATATTGTTCAAGTGTGTATTTTTCTGAAATTAAACAAAGAACACTTGGAATAATCAGAAATGGATTTGTAGGAAAAGATTGAGAGCTCTGTTTGCTCCCAACACTAAACTCAGACCCAGAATTCTTTACCTTTAAGTGTACAATCAGTTCTCCACATTTAATTTTTGCACATTTGATCATTCATAGATTTTATTAATATGTCCTCTCTAGCAATCCCTGTCTACAATGTCTTGTGAGGCCCCATGGTTTCACCTCCAGAAGTTGAACATAGAGACCTCCAGGGTAACTCCATGGTCAACTTATGCCAGAAGTTAATCATTAAATCAATATGGAAGGTTTAGAACAACATTTCTCAACCTGGGGGTCGGGACCCCCAGGGAGGTCACAAGGGGGTGTCAGAGGGGTCACCAAAGACCATCATAAAACACAGAATTTTCTGTTGGTCATGGTGGTTCTGTGTGGGATGTTTGGCCCAATTCCATTGTTGGTGGGGTTCAGAATGCAGTTTGATTGTAGGTGAACTATAAATCCCAGTAACTACAACTCCCAAATCTCAATGTCTATTTACCCCAAACTCCACCAGTGTTCACATTTGGACATATTGAGTATTTGTGCCAAGTTTGGTCCAGATCCGTCATTGTTTGAGCCCACAGTGCTCTCTGGATGTAGGTGAACTACAACTCCAAAACTCAAGGTCAGTGCCCATCAAATACTTCCAGTATTTTCTGTTGGTCATGGGAGTTCTTTGTGCCAATTTGGGTTCAATTCCATCGTTGGTGAAGTTCAGAATGCTCTTTGATTGTAGGTTAACTGTACATCCCAGCAACTACAACTCCCACCAGTATTCAGATTTCAGCGTATTGGCGTATTTGTGCCAAATTTGGTCCAGTGAATGAAAATACATCCTGCATATCAGATACTTCAGTTACGATTCATAACAGCAGCAAAATAACAGTTATGATGTGTCAAAGAACATAAAGTTATTGTTGGGGGTCACCATAACATGAGGAACTGTATTAAGGGGCTGCAGCATTAGGAAGGTAGAAAACCACTGGTTTAGAGATTCCTAGGAAGATAGAAAAGATTCCTAGGAAGGCAGAAAACCACTGGTTTAGAGAATCTCTAAACCAGTGGTTTTCTACCTTCCTAGAGTGGTGATTCCTAGAGTGGTACATCATTAAAAAGCATGGTTTTCCTATGTTTGTGAGGTCTTGTGCCACTAATCCCCGCAGAAGTTCAGGGTCTACTGTATTTGCTTTTTATTTGTTTGTCTTTTGCATCTGGCCAAGATAAGTAGATCTTGAAGTTCTTCTTAAACCTTTCAAAGTACATCTAGCAAGCACAAATCTTTCCACCATTGCCTCATGTTTGAAGGAAGGAATAACAATTTATTTAAATAATACATAAATAAAATATGCAAAGAAGTATGATCTTCGAGACACGAACATGGTGCAATGGGAATGGAACGTCTCAGAGATCCAGAAGGCACAGGAGGTGCTGGATAAAGGGAACTTGCTGTGATTAAAAATGTGCATTTTGATCAATTTATTGCTCATCAACTCTTGTTCTGAGGGGGAATGTTCAGAATGTTTCTTTCTTTCTTTTTCTTTTCAATTTACATTCCCTTTGTTTTTCTTATTTTTGTTTATACAGGGGAGTTCTGAAATACCAAACCAATGTAAAAGAGCATCCTCCGGGGTGCTTTAATCCTAACAGGACCATTCAAGAAGGGAGTCGGTTTGCAGGAGACTTTGAGAAATCCCACCCTGAAAATGCTTTGGAACCTTTTCCTCGCCGTTTAGTGGAAATGGAGCCTCTTCTCAGAAGCAGTATTGTCTGTATAGAGGAGCCTAAATTCCAAGCCCATTTCCCAGAGGTTTGTATGAATATCTATGCCTCATTGTGCTCAAGTTGGTGCAGTCATAGAAGCCATATACTCCTTTCAGCCCTAAAAGGTTCAGAGTCAGGAGGGATAAGAGGTGACAAAACATCTGGGAGCCATGCAGGGCATCAGGTCTGCACCTTGTCAATTTCTGATTTAAGCATATAAACATAGAATCATAGATTTGAAAGAGACCCCCAGGGTCATCCAGTCCAACCTATTCTGCCATGCAGAAATGCACAATCAAAACTTTCCCAACAGGTGGCCATCCAACCAGAAATGGAGGGAAGAGGCAAGAGGACTTAGAGCAGTGGTTCTCAACCTGTGGATCCCCAGGTGTTTTGACCTACAACTCCCAGAAATCCTAGCCAGTTTACCAGCTTTTAGGATTTCTGGGAGTTGAAGGCCAAAACACCTGGGGAGCCACAGGTTGAGAACCACTGACTTAGATGAAGAGTTAGAAGGCATGATCATCAAGTTTACAGACAACACCAAATTGGGAAGGATAGCTAATAATCCAGAAGACAGGAGCAGAATTCAAAACAATCTTAACAAATTAAAGAGATGCTTGGTCAAAACTATCAAAATGAAGTTCAACAGGGACAAATGCAAGATACTCCACTTAGGCAGAAAAAAATGAAATGCAATTATACAGAATGGTGGATGCCTGGCTTGACAGCAGTGTGTGTGAAAAAGATCTTGGTGTCTTCGTGGACAACAAATTAAATATGAACCAACAATGTCATATTTGGCAACAAAAGCCAATGGGATTTTGACCTACATAAATAGGAGTCTAGTGTCTAGATCCAGGGAAGTCATGCTATCCCTCTATTGGGCCTTGGTAAGACCACACCTAGAATTACACTGTGTCCAATTTTGGGCACCTCAATTGAAAGGAGATGTTGACAGGCTGGAATATGTCCAGAGGAGGGCGACTCAAATGATCAAGGGCCTGGAGAACAAGTCCAAGCGGGGTGGCTTCAAGAGCTGGGCATTTGAATGTGATTTTCCTGCTTCTTGGCAGGTGTTTGGACTGGATAGTCCTTGAGGTCTCTTCCAACTCTATGATTCTATGGCTGTATACTACAAAATGGAGGGCAGATAAATATAGACTAACTGCAGACTAAGGAAGGAAGGAAGACAACAAATGACATTTACCCATGCAAGGGGTAAACTCTTAGATGTGCATATAGCAAATACTGCATAAAGGCAGGCTAAGTTTGCAAAGGTTTTAATAGTAAGCTGTCTCTTCTTTCTCTCTCCTCCCTATTTTATTTCAGACTTGGCTTTGGATCTCTGGCCCATTGTGTTTGTATTGCGCAGAAAGGCTCTACCGCTACATCTGTAGCAGCAATAAACCTGTCACAATCACTGCAGTGATCAGCCATGCTTGTGATGTCCTTGAGGTGCGGATGATGAAAGAGGACTTCAGAGCCAGACCTGGACAGGTGAGTTAACACTTGGATGATATTCCAATGACTACAAATCAAAAGACACAGGAAGCAGCTCGTAGGGGTCAAAAAGAAATTGGCTGGGTTTGAATTTTCATACGAATGGATAAGAGTATAAAGTATTCTCCCTGCCTATTCAGAAAATTTTGCATCACTTGAGACAAGCAAATTTCTAAGGCATTTCGGTGGGGGGAATTTGATCAAAACCATACACACATTCCAAGAATGTACCCAACAAAAAACAAAATGTACCCAAACCATTGTTCAAATATTTTATTTATTTATTTATTTATTTATTTATTTATTTATTTATTTATTTACTGCATTTGTTGACCGCCGTTCTCAGCCCTAGGGCGACTCACGGCAGTGTACAACATATAAAAACAGTTTACAATAAAGCAATAGCACAACGAAATATCAACATAACTATTAATAATACAACAATAATATAATATGTATAGACTAGATATGTATAGACTAGAAAAATGTGCACTTAAAAACAGAAATAACAACATGCAGAGAGAGAGAGAGAGATTGGGAAAAGCACTAGTTGCCATGCAGTAAAAATCCTCTCACAGCTATGATGGGATGAAAATGGGCATTGATTCAGAAATGAAACTGCCATAAAATTGATATTTATAATGTCATGGTGTGATGGAGTGTGGAATTAAGATGGCACAACAAGCTTGTGGTGTGACATAAAGGTTTCCAAAGACAACAAGAGGGATCCTTCTGGCTCAGACTAGGGGTACATTTTATACTGTAGAATTAATGCAGTTTGACATCACTTCAAATGCTGTTACTCAATGTGGTGGAATCCGGGGAGTTGTAGTTTGGTGAGACACCAGCACTATTTGGCAAAGATGGCTAAAGACTTTTAAAACTACAACTCCCAGGCTTCTATAGCATTGATCCATGTCAGTTCAAGTGGAGTCAAGCTACATTAATTCTACAGTGTAGATACATCTTTAGGTTGCTACAGTAATCTATCTGAAGCCTATGGCAGGACCACATCTAAATCATAGGCCTATAGTCTTTTTTCTAATTTTTGCTCCTTGTGTATTACTATTTGTTGTTCAGGCACCCGGGTCCCTGGCAAAATCTCAGTAAGCCTCAAGCTAGAGCTGGGCCAATAGTACTCAAAAGATGAGCTATATGACTCTTAAAAATAGGAGGAAAAGTTCCTTCTTTGGCTCACTGTTGTGCTCATACATGTATGTGATTTATCTTAGTTCTTGAAACTCCATGAGCAGGTAGCTGTCATTTCGGCTTGGGCTAAAAATAAACAAATATGTGAACAAATAAAAGTAGAATTTGAAAAAGTTAATTGCCTTGCAGAGGTGTAGTTATGTGAGGCAGAGGTAAAAAAACAAACAAATAAGAGTTCTGACCACCCAAATCAAATTTTCTGCAGTCCTCAAATTTCTAGCATTGCAGATAATGAGATACTGGAAATGGTTCATACCTGGAACTCTTGTATTTGCTTCATTTTCATTCCCTTCACCACTTGGGTTTTTTTCCCCCTTTGGATGCCTATGCTGTATCTCTAAATGCTCAACTGAAGTTAGTGCAGAAATTCCTGAGTGGAATTCATTTTCTAGTGGGAAATGCTCCGATTCCTCCCCATCCATAGTTTTATCACAGATCCTCCAAATTCCTTGGCCAACACAGATAGTGCCCAAGGTGTCTGGTCGATCCTAGGCATTGTGCTCCAAGGGGGGGGGGGCACAATGCCTATTTCTGAAGATTTCTGAAGTTCATCCAGAATCAATGGCTTCCATCCAAAAGTTGAGCTCCTCCAGACCTACCCAAGATAAAGCACTCTGTTGTCCTGATGTCTAAAATAGTCTAAAATTCTCCCTCCAGTGCTCTGAGAGATTGGTATATTTCTTAAAAGTCATGCGTGCCACTACCTCTTTAGGTATTGTATAACTCTACCACTGGTGTTGAACCTGGGATGATGCAAGAACTCTGAAGAGCTCTTGGAGCAGGCATTCATAAGAAGTTTCCTTAAGTTGAATCCAGTCCATGGTGCATAATTATGGCCCTCTTGATGTTTTTAATCTACAACTCCCATCAACACGAAGTATCATAGCCAATTGTGAGGGATTATGGAAAGTGCAATCCTAAACCTTTTGCAGTTCCAGTCCTTGATCTGGCCGACTTGAATGTAAGACTGTCGATTCCTTTCCAGAATGCCATGCAGAAAATGATTTAGCATCAGATCCATCATCCCCTTAAATTGAGATGCCTGGGATTGAACCTAGGATGATGCAAATGTATAGCTCTACCACTGGGATTGAACCTGGGATGATGCAAATGTATAGCTCTACCACTGGGATTGAACCTGGCATGATGATGATATATAGCTCTGCCACTGTGTTATGTCTGCTTCTGAAAACAATTGTTTATAGATCAGGTAGATCCTGCCTGAATGTCAATTTATTTTGCCATGGTGTATGTATTTGTATTCTGTACCATATACAGTAAAGGAATGGCATGAATGTTTGGAAGACAAGGGTCTTAAACCTTCTCTGTCCCTTTCTATTGGGAAAAGGGTTAAAAATTAAGACTTATACCAAAAAGAGGGTTCCTTTTCACCCTTTTCTTCTTTTTCCATCTTTGTCTCTTTCAGTATGTCATTCTGCATTGTCCTGGTGTATCATCTGTGGAAAGCCATCCCTTTACTCTAACACTGGTAAGGAAATCATTCAAACCTGCATTTTGGGGTATAGTGGTTTTGTATTTTTGTTTTCCATTTAGAAGTGATGAATGAGCATTCCCTTTTTCTCCCTGGCAGACTAAAAATCATTGGTTCATTCATGTATCCAGTTATGAATAAGAATTGCGTTATATAATACAGTTAGGTAGAAGAATTATGTAATGCACTCATGCTGTGTTGGGTGTTCAAAACTCATACTGCGAACAGAGAAATTTCAGTCCTCTAAATGTTTTGGACTGCAGCACCTGCAATCTCTTTCTGCCAGTTTGGCAGATAGGGCTTTGGACAACTGAAGTCCAAAATGTTTGAAGAGTTCAAGTTTCTCCATCTTGGTGTTATCTCACTGTTCAGTACACCAATCCTATAATGTAGACCAGTGGTTCTCAACCTGTGGGTCCCAGATGTTTTGGCATTCAACTCCCAGAAATCCTAACAGCTAGTAAACTGTCCGGGATTTCTGGGAGCTGTAGGGCAAAACACTTGGGGACCCACAGGTTGAGAACCACTGATGTAGACCATGTTATTTCCATGTTATAGAGGGCCGAGTTGTATGTACTGTAAGCTCCAAATATAATATCAAGAAAACCTTTGCCAAGATTGCGCTGTCACACATTTTAGACTACAGCTTCCATCCCCTTTGACTAGTGAGGTGGATTTTCCAGGAAAAAAATGAGAAATTTCAGGAAAATGTTCCAATGCTCTAAGTAATGCTATCTGATTGAGCCCATTAGGTTTAAATGTTACAGTCCTAAACATGCAAAGCTTTATGTGAAATTAATTTACTGGATTATTTCTGATAACATAAGGGGGATAGCAGAGCCAGTTTGATGCAGTGGTTTGGGTTTTGGAGGACTATGAGGAACCAGGATTCGAATTCCCACAATGGATGGCATTGGGTTAGTCATACTTTCTCAGCTTTTGAGGAAAGCAATAGCAAACTTCTTCAGATTATACCAGGCATGAGAAAACTTTGACCTGCCAGGTGTTTGGGACTTCAACTCCCACAATTCCTAACAGTCTACTGGCTGTTAGGAATTGTGGGAGTTGTAGTCCAAAACACCTGGCAGGTCAAAGTTTGCTCATGCCTGCTCTATATCCTTCAAAGAAAACCCAGTGATAGGATTCTCTTGGCATTTTCAGGAGCTGCAAATGACTTTGAAGACATACAACAAAAAGGAAATAATGTATACTTCCCTATACAGTATTTAATAAAAATAACTATACCTGAAAAAAGCATTATTAAAAGAGAAATGTACTTTATGTATCCCATGTCAACCATTTATCTTTCTTTTGCTGAGGCATAACTATAATTGTTTCATGTATTGTCGAAGGCTTTCATGGCCGGAATCACTGGGTTGTTGTAGGTTTTTCTGGGCTATATGGCCATGTTCTGGAGGCAATTTTTCTGACGTTTCGCCTGCATCTATGGCAAGCATCCTCAGAGGTAGTGAGGTCTGTTGGAAGTAGGAAAAATGGGTTTATATATCTGTGGAATGACCAGGGTGAGACAAAGGACTTTTGTCTGCTGGGGCTAGCTGTGAATGTTTCAGCTGATCACCTTGATTTGCATTCAATGGCTTGGAAGTGCCCGGGGGGAATTCCTCGTTGAGAGTGATTTTATGTGCCTGTTTGTTTCCTCTCTGCTGTTTTGCTGTTGTGATTTTTGAGTCCTTTAATACTGGTAGCAAAATTTTGTTCATTTTCAAGGTTTATTCCTTTATGTTGAAATTGTCCATATGCTTGTGGATTTCAATGGCTTCCCTGGGTAGTCTGATATAGTGGTTGTCAGAGTGGTCCAGAATTTCTGTGTTCTCAAATAATATGCTGTGTCCAGGTTGGTTCATCAGGTGCTCTGCTATGGCTGATTTTGTTTCAGCTGTATTGCTTATCAGTTCACATCCCCTTTTCCTAAATTCCAAAATCTGAAATATTTCAAAGTTGTCTATGTAGATGGCTGATATAGTGACATTTTGTTTTTCTGATATTTCCATGTACCCAATTTTGTTTTATGTGCATGATTAAAATGTATATACAATCACCTTCAGTCTAGGTGTAATTAGAGCTTAGATTTGAGCCCAATCTTCAGGATATCTCTGTATGTATATGCAAATATTCTGAAATCAGGGCCAGAACATTTGAAATACAGAACATTTCTGATTCCCAAGTATTTTGGACAAGTAATATTCAACTTCCACTATTTTGAACTGAGAAAATATATGATTCAGTTCTAGCTGAATATTCTTCTTTGCTAAAGGATGGATGAGTGAGTTTTGGGGCACGGGTCGCTAAATCCCATTTTGTTTTGCCTATTTCTACTTGAGACTTACTGGGAAGGAAAAGGTTTATGTAAAATGGCAACAAGCTTAGCAATAAATTAATTTGTTAGTCTATTCTTTTGAGCACAATTCATGTCTCTTTAGAAGTACATACCCCACATTTAGCCCATTTAATATGGTGGATTGTGGTGCAACAACTCAGACAATTATGTATGTTTTATGTGTCTGTGTATATTGCTTCATAGCTTTAGAAATCTTTAAATTGAGGTTGGAAGATCATCTTTCAGTAGTGTTGTAAATGTATATTCCTGCATGTCTGGGGATCAAGCTAGATAACCCTTTTGTGATCCTTTCCAACTTTAAGAGTTTATGATTCTGAGGTACAAGCAAAGTACCGTATATTCCGGCATATAAGACGACTGGGCGTATAAGACGACCCCCAACTTTTCCAGTTAAAATATAGAGTTAAGATGACTCCCATGCATAAGACTACACCCGCATATAAGACGACCCCTGACTTTTGAGAAGATTTTCTTGGGTTAAAAAGTAGTCTTATACGCCAGAATATACTGTATTAATATGCTGTCAAAGGCTTTCATGGCTGGAATCACTGGGTTGCTGTGAGTTTTCTCGACTGTATGGCTATGTTCCAGAAGCATTCTCTCCTGACGTTTCACCCACATCTATGGCAGGCATCATCAGAGGTTGTGAAGCTGTGAATCCCGGCAGGAGATTCCCCCAGGCAGGAAGCAGCCAAGCTTTGAAGCTGCAAGGCTGTTCAATTCTAATCTAAGTGGCCAATTTACACCTGCCTCCAACAGGCAAGAGTTCATTCTCCCACCCATTTCCATAGATATATAAACCCCACTTGCCTAGTTTTCAACAGACCCCACAAAACCTCTGAGGATGCCTGTCATAGATGTGGGCAAAACATCAGGAGAAAATGCTTCTGGAACATGGCCATACAGCCCGGAAAACTCATAGCTACGCAAAGTATTATTATCCTTTGCTAAGTTAGAATTTTAGTGTAATTTAATTATGCCTTCGTTATTGTGGACAAAACTTAATTGCGAAGTACTCCATTAAATAATTCCTTTTTTACTGTTCTTTTGCAACTTGTTACTTCTGCGCTCTGCTTCTGAATCCTTTGCATTCTCTCTCCAAAGTTAGCTAGTTTTTTTTTTACCAATGCAGCCAACTGCATTGCAGTAGTAAGGATCCAAGATGGAGTGTTTGGAAAAACCCATAAATGTGTCGCTGTAATGTGTGCTTTTTATATTTATGGTGAGCTCTGGAGAGTTGTAATTGCACAGCAAGCTGCTACTTTGAGTCAAAATTCATTGTTGTTTTGCTTTTAAATGACACTACTGTGATGCTTAAAACTTGAGAAATTTCTAGTCTGTTCTGACCAGCTTTTGCAATGAGCTGCAACTTCCATATCCTGTATTTTTCTAGGTCATTGTTATGCCTAGGGCTCCTTCTTTTCCGAGAGAATATGGTTCCCCTGCTCCCCTCTTGTCCCTGTCTCAGTATAATGTTAGACTTTGGGCTGTATTTATAGAGGATATCGGCAAAATCCTAAAATCTCTCATTTTCGCTCTCAGTACAACCCCTCTTTGACCTATTTGTGTAAGATTTAGCAGGACTTTAGCTAACTTTGGCCATTCTTTTGTAGTATTCATGTTTTCTTTATTTTCTTCTTTTCTATTTAATTATGTGGCTCTGATTCTGTCTCCTGTTGCATTTTCCCCTTGCCATCATGACCCTCTCCAATAGTGGCAATTATCCTGGGATCAGAAAAGATCAATAACACATGTCTATATTGGACTGTTAGTACACTGTGCATGTGACCTGATGCCTAGGATGTAATGGAGGAGTATGCTCATTTAAAAATATTCAGCTCATTGGTATTTATTTATTTACAGTATTTATATTCCACCCTTCTCACCCCGCAGGGGACTCAGGGCGGATTACAATGTACATGTACATGGCAAACATTCAATGCCATAGACATACAACATATATAGACAGATACTCAGAGGCTATTTTACATTCCAACTTCTGGCCACCAGGGGAGCTTTTGCTTCACCGTCCGTTTGTGACACTGATGAAGTACTTTCCTCATTCTTTGCATACTTCCTGGAGATTTTTATGGCCTCGTAAATCAGATAAATTAGCCTCCTCACATAAGTGGTACCTAAATTTCCTACTTGACAGATGCAACTGACTTGTGGGCTGCAAAGGTCGACAACAAGCTACACAATTTTGGTCGGGAGCTCACTCCGACCCAGACTGGCTTCGAACTCATGACTTTCAGTCAGTAGTGAACTTTTTTTTTGGTTGTGTCAGGAGCGACCTGAGAAACTGCAAGTCGCTTCTGGTGTGAGAGAATTGGCCATCTGAAGGACGTTGCCCAGATGATTTGATGTTTTATCATCCTTGTGGGAGGCTTCTTTCATGTCCCCGCATGAGGAACTGGAGCTGATAGAGGGAGCTCATCCGTCTCTCCCTGGATTCAAACCTGTGACCTGATGGTCTTCAGTCCTGCTGGCACAGGGGTTTAACCCCCTGCACCACTGGGGGCTCCTAGTAGTGATATTAATGCAGCTCACTCCCAGCCATCTACGCCACAGTCCCGGTGCATTGGTAAAGCTTTTGTGTAGAGGAAAATATTGTATCTCCTAGCAGGACTAGGCAAAC